CTGGTATAATTAAGTCACAAGTTTTACGATTTCATCGAATTTGTACAAGATCTTCTGATTTCAACCAAGCCTGTACGATTGTTTTCTCAAAACTGAAAGAGCGTGGGTACTCTAAACGATTTTTACGAAACATAAAAAATTCCACCTTAGCACAGATAGCAGCTAAAAACAGACTTTATGCCGAAGTACCTCCAGGTTTAAGAAGTGCTCCATGTTTGTCCAGTAGATGCAAAACATGTCCCTTTATATCAGAAACTCATTATTTTGTAAGCAACTCTACGAATAAAAGGTACCCGATCCAGGAACATCTAACATGTGAACATTCGAATGTAATATATTTAATTTCATGCAAGAAATGCCCCAAACAATATGTAGGCGAAACTAAGAATAATTTACGAACTCGCTTTAATGCTCATAGGTCAGACATCAAATTAAAGAAAGACAAGCCTGTTTCTAATCATTTCAACCTCGACGACCATTCAATAGACGATCTCACCCTAATCCCAATTGAGCGTATAGAAATTGACTTGCCCGAAGATGAAACTACCAAATTCCGTCATTCTAGGGAGGCCCATTGGATTGAGACATTGAATACAGCAAGACCTATAGGACTTATATTCATCATAATGTAGGCATAGCACCCTTTGTTGTCCCGTTTAATACAACCAGCAATCGAGCAAGCAAGATAGTTCATGCCCACTATAAGAGCCTTCAAGAGAAATTCCCCCATGTCTATAAGCAGAAAATGATAGTTGCATATTCAAAAAATAAGAACTTAAATGATAATATTGTTCATAGTAAACTAAAAACAATCAGTACATAACAGATACTATACTTCTCGCCCATTGGGCGAGTTATTTTTTCTAATTTCAGATCAGAATAAGAACAGAAGAAAACCCAATATCAAGACCCTTAATCCTGATTTCTAAATAAAGTGTCTGCTCCGCCCTAGGCCTGTACATTTGGGAGAATCAAACCCTCCCTTCCCCGAAATCTAATTATTTGCAAAATATTAATTTCATATGTTCCTATCAACATGAATCATCTAGTTTAGAGGCATGGGGTAATTCATCTAATCTACCGATGAATTTGAGAAAGATCACCGGTATTAATATTGCAAAATACACCGAAAATAATTGGGAATCTTTAAGACACGAATGGGAACCTTACGCTAAAAGATAAACGATAAAGAAATGGTTGAAGAAGAATGGTATGAAAGTACTAGAATTTCCGAAACACACCGAGAAAGAAAACGTAGAAAAAGTTTACTCACATACTCACCCTTTTATAAGATATTTTATCAGACAAAGTATTAAAGGAGGAAGAGTTTCGGCAAATCGAAAATCATTTGAAACGAATAAAATGGATGTAATTTGTAATGTATTAAAGGAATACACAGAAACACCAAGTGATAATATAATTGATTTATTTAAAGAATATAGTGCTAACCCAAAAGATAAAACGGAGGTTCATTCGAGACTTAAAAAAATAAAATGTACTAAACTAATGGCCTTTGATGCTAACGGTTTGTACGCTTCCGCCATGTCGGATTTAGACAGCGAATATCCGAGAGCGGAAAGTGGTAGACCATTTCGACAAGAAGAAAATAAAGAATTTGTTAAGCTTTTTAATGAGCAAAAATTCAGACCTAGAGCAGCTATTTTAAAAGTCTGGTTTGAATATCCTACCAACATGTTCTTCCAACTCATACCAGCTAAAGATAAAATCACTTTCACGAATAGAATAGCTAAATACGAAACTGGCACTAAAATCAGGGTCAGAAATGGTTTCTGTCACGACGTTTTAACATAGGCCGATATTCAAGAAATTGTGAGAGCCGGTGGACGAATTATTGAAATATTAGATGGTATAGTTTACGAAGAAAATTTTAAAACTTCACCCTATAGAGATTATATTTTAATTTTGAGAGATCTAAGAAATAAATATAAACGAGAAGGTAATATCGTAGGTAGTAATTGCATGAAATTATTAGGTAATTCATTGTATGGTAAATCTATTCAAAAGGATATAACTGCATCGAGACATCTATGGAGTGAAGCGACTTTAAAAGCCAACTTCGATTCACACGTTATAAACTATGAAAAAGTAAATGATAGTCAATATATAGAGATAAATGAAGAAGAAAAAGAATTTGACTGTACACCTCCTAAATCTACAAGAGTAACACCTAGTCATTTGGGATCATTCGTTTTATCTCACAGTAAAAAATAATGAATAATTTTATTCGCGTGATAGATGGATTTTATAAGCCTGAAATATACTATACGGATACCGATAGTTTATACATTTCGTTTAGCAATTGGGATAAATTAAATGAAGGTGGGTT